CGGTTCTACCCAGTGGTGCACGTCTCTCGACTGAAGGCTGTAAACGAATTCTGTGATCGCCCAAAGGCGCGACTAGCTCGAGATGTTGCTGAGGAAGCAAGATTTGACTTTGACGAAGACCTGTTGCCTGAAGACAACTGGATGCCAGAAGAAGTTGCTGGTGAATTCGAGGTGGAAGCAATTTTGGACGGCAGAACACCAATGTCAACCAGCACGGATAGACCTGTGCATGAATTTGAGGTGAAGTGGGTTGGCTACGAGTCAACTACATGGGAGCCAGCCTCTAACTTGTCGTGTGGAGGACTCCAGTATGACTACTTGAGGAACAAGAAGAGTGAGCAACGTCTACAGATGGCCCAAGTCGCGGACGAGGACTGAAAGCCGAAAATATCATGATAAACGAACTGGTTGTGAGGCAAAGCAGCTCACAATACCAGACGAAAATTGCTACTGCTGTTGTATGAATGCATAAAATGGATATGAAATGAATTTCTCGAAATGCGATGGAAATGGAAATGACAAAGAAAGAATTAAATGATTAACTACTCTGCAAAACTGTGGAACGACAAACAGGTAACTCAGATTTTGGCGACGACGCCGGACGTCGACGGCGGAGAGGAATCCGCGAAAAGCAGGATCACAGCAGCTTCAGCTGCCGCATCTTGGGGGTCGACCGGAGTGTCGCCAGTCGAATCTTGGTTCAAGTCCAAGGTGGCGGTAGAATCAGCATCATCCTCTGCAACCTCACCTTCCTCCATCTCTTCGTCTTCGTCAGCTGCACGAAAGGCTCAATCCCACGAAGGGTCGATGTCCGCTGGCTCCAAAGACGAGTCAGAGACGATCTGTGGACCGAGAGGTTCGACTGTCGAGTTGGCGGGAAGGAAGAGAGGCACGTGAGCGTTGCGCGGAACATACACCGTGTTGTATGGGTGCTGCTCCGGGCAGGTCAGCCAATCCACACGACTTGGCTCCGACTTGTCCACCAGCGCAGCCTCCACGCACCAATCCGCCGAACCAGGAACCCACATGTGCTTACCAGACTCAGTGGACGAGTTATAAATTACGGCACCAACTCAGTCTGAGTTCCAACGACCACTCGGCGGTGGTATTGGTGGTGCAACTAGCTTTGTCTCCGTTGATCAGTATAGCTTCGGGAGTGATCAAGCAGTTGCTCGCAACGTTGATGAAGCTGTACAAAGTGGTCTGAGGTCAATACGAAGTCTAATGCCTGCAAAACAGCGTGTGGAGTACGTACCGTGACAACAAGTGGTATAATTGGTGAAAAGACGGTCTGAGAAGCCGTTTACACGAGGCCGGTGCACGATCTTGTGCTGAAAGACATGTCGGCACCTCGGCCCTCACCATGGCGTGACTTGAGTTGCGGTGGAGGCAGTTGTGGTGTAGGGATTTCCCCTTTCTGCCTCCCGGCAGTGGTCTCGACAGTAATGGCGATTGAGGACGAATTTGTGTTATCTGGTGTAGCATACACCAGATTCGCATTCAAGATGTGCGTACTCATGGATACAGCCATATCTCTATACAGTGACTCCAACCTTCAACCACCAAGTCACTATATCGGCAGCTGTGTATGACACTCCAGATGACCCGTAGTCGAGATCCGCACTTAGGCGAGTCATCGTCGGGTGATTGGTCGAGTCGTCGTTAGCCGTTTGAGGGTCGTTAGCTTAGTCGCATTTATACTTGATATTTGTATACGCTATTGTAGGAGTTAGGAGAAGTCTTAACGCCCACTACGGCGGAGAACAGAACTGAATTTGCTACTTAAAGGTCAAGACTTATTTTGGGTAAGTCTAAAAGGGCCAGGTCACTTAGGTGGCATATATGTCTGTTGGTGGACTCGGTTGAAGAACTCCTGTCCATCCGTGACAAGACCAAGCGCTAGGTGTGAGGTTTGGTCATATTGAAGGCCGACGAGTCATCATCAAAGACTGGAAGCACATTCCCAGTAATTAGTACCGCTGGGGCAAGTGCCCGGCACACCTGCGTCTGGCTGAGAAGTCAAGCACTTTCCACCACTGAAGGGCAAGCACGGTCAAGTTGAAGAAGAAGAGAAAGACGACTTGGAGTGCTCATTCCAAGGACGTTAGTTTCGGTCGACCTACGACCTACGACCTTACCAACGCAGAGTCAAGTGAAGCTCGGAAGGGATTGAATAAAGGACTATCGAGTATATTCTTTTGATCCCGCTCGTCGTTAGCTCTTTGCGGAGCTGACGAATTGTTGTGAGTGGTGGAAGGGGTGCAATCGTGAATTCCCAACACGACACAGTGACCGAGGGCTCGGACGGCGGTGCAATGACTGTTACGAGATCTCTGTTTGAGGTCGGGAGTCGTGTGCGGCTATATATGGAACATGTCAAACCGGGCCTGACGTAAAAGTTACCACACCAATGGCATGGACCGTTTAGGATCAAGAAGAAGGAGTTTGCTTACAAACTCGAACTTCCTGACCGAAGTGGATACAGATTTTACCCGGTTGTGCATGAGTCACGTTTGACGGAAGTTGATGGATTCGAAGACCGGTCGAGTGCTTGTTTGGCGTCGGACGTGAACGAGGCTACTCGATTGGATTTTGATGAAGAATTATTGTCGTTTCCAGCCAAATTTCCATAGGCTGGGCTATTCGCGACCTTTGGGCCGAATCGCGCGGCAATAGATCTCGCAAATAATATCTTTAGTGAGTTTTCCTTATCCGTCGGCTCGGGGAGCAAAATACGACGCCGTAGCAACGGAGCAAGATGGAACCTGCGGTGACAACACAGCACGCGCACACCAACACGGTCTTACACTGTTTATATGGTTACTATAACCTGGGCTACACAAGGAAGGAGTTAGCTCCCATTTACCACAAAGATGTTAAAACAATCGGCAATTGGATCCATGTGTACGAAACTACAGCGACATTTCAAAGAGTGAACAGAGCGGACAATAAGTTCACGAAACCCCAACGCAACTGGTTGTACCAACATTACCAGCAATAGCCTCTTTCCTATCTTGATGAAGCGCGAGAGGCCTTTATACGCGCTCATCAGACTAGAATTTCTATTTCATCAGTTTGGAGAATAATTCATGAATTCGGTCTCACGTGGAAAGTCTTGGAACGTCGAGCTTTTCATATCAAAGGGAAAGACATTTTTCGTTTTGCGAGGGAAATAAGCCAAGTAAGCTGGACACATCACAATATTGTATTTCTAGACGAAGTTTCCTTTGATAATAGAGGCATGGTTAGACGGCGTGGCTATTCAATGCGGGGGCAAAAGGTAGCTATTCGTGGTGACTATCAGAGAAAAGCTCGCATGTCAATTCTGGCATTTGCAGGTGTGAATGGTATTATTGACTATTAC